CATGTCACACCAGGTAGGCTGTGACAGTGACCGATAAACTGTGCATTTCTCGCGGGGCTTGTGCCATCATTTGCAGTAGCGTTACACGTATTGCCAGATAGACTGTACCGATTACCAAGCACATGTACATATACATGTACGTGTACACGAGTAAGGCGAGCGCACCCTGACCTCGTCGCCCTCTGAACTACGGAGGCCTGTAACGGACATATCGCAAAACCATGGCACACTCGCTCATTCCCCCACCGGCCAAAATGGACATGAAAGTAGACCAGGTCTCCAACTGGCAATTCTTCAAGGCAAGCTGGCAGAACTATTCAGTGGCCACGGAAATCGACAAAAAAGATGCTTCTGTCCAAATAGCCACACTACTGACTGTTATGGGGAAGGAGTGTTATGAAGTCTATCAAAATCTGCCACTAACAGAAGAGCAGAGAAAGTCACCACAGCAAATCCTGACCAGTCTGGGTGCCCATTTTGACCCAAAACGCAATGTGGTGTATGAACGATTCAGGTTCAACTCAAGCAAACAAGAACCCAAGGAGAACATTGACACTTTCCTGAATAGGCTCAGGAAGTTGGCGACCACATGCAATTATGGGCCACTTCTGGATGAAATGCTGAGAGATAGGCTGGTCATTGGCGAGGCAAACAACAGCATATGGGCTCGTCTGCTGCAGGAGTCTTCATTGACATTGCAGAAAGCCATAGACACATGCCGGAGCAGTGAACAAGCAGCACTCCACTTACAGCAAATGGATCCAGCGGAGGCTGAAACAGCTCACTTTGTGAAAAAAAAGCAACAGCCACAAAAATCTGGAAAACCAAGCAAGCCTCCAAAAAGCCACTGTAAATACTGTGGCAAGTCACACAGCAAAGGCAAGTGCTCTGCCTTTGGCACAACCTGTTCCAAGTACCAAAGGCAAAACCACTTTGCCCAAGTTTGTCGGTCATCTGGCAAAGGTGGCAGTAGAACCAAAGGAAAGAAGCAGCAAGCTGGAGAAAAGCTCCACCATATCTATGGAAATGATGGAGACAGTGATGAGAGCATATACACGGTGCAGTCAAAGCCCAAGTACCAATACTTTGTTGAGCTGGCAGTGGAGACACCTACAAAGGAGCAGACAAAACCCATCAAGTTTCAGCTGGATTCCGGTGCAACCTGCAGTACCATGAAGCTGGTAGACTTCAGGCAGCTGAGTGACATGTCTCCAGAGCCATCAAAGACTAAGCTGAAACTGTACAATGGTAACATTATACGCCCTATTAAAGCTGCCAGCATGCGGTGCCAAATTAATGGCATCACAAAAAAAATCCACTTTGAGATTGTGGAAGACGCACCATCATCATTGCTCTCAGGCAGTGCAGCGGAAGCACTGGCACTAGTACAATTCACACAGGAGTGCTTAGTGCATAGAGTGACCGAGTCACCGACTCTCACCAAGGCGCAGGTCCTCAGCGTGGATCTGGTGGAGATACAGTGATGATGTATTTTTCATCTGGACCGGTGACAGTGGCAGTCTAGACATCTTTATTTACAGGGCAAGTTCAATTTGGAATATTCCCTCCATCAGGCAACCTTTCTTGATGTCAGCATCCAGAAGGAGAACAACCTTGTGACAACTGACAAAATACACTGGATGGATCTGGACCCCCACTTTAAGTCCAGTTCCATTGATTGTATTTTTTCTTTGATCTCTTCCCACCTTACATTCTTTTGTTGTTCAACCATGCCTCCATGCAGTCCCCTTTATCCCTTCTCCCTTTATTTAGCCTGCAGCTTTCTTAACCTTTCCTTTTGTCTTCTTGCATTCATCCATGCTTGATTGATTCTCTGTTGCCCCAAAGAAAAAGATTCCTGTCAAGGGGCTCTCCAGACTAGTTGGCTTAAAAACTTACATAAAATACTTGGCTGTACCTAGAATATTAATGTTGACATCAGGACATTGATCTTCTGAAGCACTCCCTTTTCAAGATATCTACAAGGTTTGAACCAAATCGGACATGTCCTTCACAATATACTGCTTTGATGAATGCACCTATAATGTCACGTGACATGGTCATCTGATGATATTATCATCACTTGAGGTCAATGTTCGTCTAAAGCCCTCCCCTTTCAGGATATCTGCAAAGTTGGAACCCAATGGGTCATGTGGGTCACAAGATACAGTGCATTAAAGAGTGCATCATTAATGTCACGTGACTTGTCATCTACCGATGACATCATCATGACGTTATGCTTTGAGACAAATCTTGGCTGATGGACTAAGAGTGCGCACCTAGTATGTAGTCTGTTAGATTGATAAAAGTGACAAAGTCCAGCTGTTGAAAAACATGCACAAAACCTATGGGAAAAATTTAATATTTCAAATTTTATAAAAAAATCAGCTGATGATGTCGTCATGACGTTATGCTCAGAGGCACATCTTTGCTAAGAGTCTTTGCTTGAGGCAACTATCATAAAGATCTGAAACCACAAAGGGAATAAACGTGCCCTGGAGAAAAACCGTATACAAAAGAAACACTATTCTTAATTTTATTTAATGCTGTATTTTACACTGAGGTTCCATGATAAAGAACAGTAACGCTCCGCTCTGACTGAATTTGTAGAACGTCTTCATGTACAGGGTATTAAACCGCAGTAAAACATCCGTTCAAAGAATTTTAAAAATTCTCCCAGAGCCCAAAACATATACATGTACAGGTTAACTGATGTAAAACACTCTAGGTTCGAAGGAGAAAAAATTCAGCTGGGGACAACAGAGTTTTCTTCCAATATCGATCAAATCTTGGTAGCCATAGTAAGCTAAACGCAAGACCGTTAGCACGTGGGCGCCCTCTATCTCATTTAGTGTCCAAAGGTTAAGTTAGACCAACGCTCACTTCCAACATACACAGTGCAAACATTAACACAATAGTCCGCTGACACAGCTCACCCACTAGGCACAGTCCATTGTCTAGGGATAATCCCTCTCATTACTCGGCTGTCTATTGTGTAGGGATTATTGCTTCCTACTCCTTAATTAAAGTTGATCCTATAATACGTAGGCCTATACAGCAAAATAAAAGAACTCAAAAGAACAATTTAATTAATCATAAGTACATTCCTGACTTATTGAAAACCCCCACTAGACATGGTACGGGTCGGCTCCTCAAATTATGCAAATCAGGTGGTCAATCAGCAAATCCAGCATTCTGATTGATCGAGAGACACGAGAAAACTAAGAGAAAGGGCATGGTTTTCTCTATACAGACGAGGTGCACTACTGTAAATTATCTCACAACAAAATAAAGACTCCAACGGGACTAAGGGACTAGTGTATAGTTGGCTGATTCAAGTTAAACAGGGCTCCCCCCGGGACAACACACATCTCACAAACATGTTATTTTCTCCCAAAATAAAAGTCAGAAATTGTTGTTTTGGGTATCAAATTGAAATGTATAGCATTTTCATCATTTTATTTGAAGCTCTTATTTCTTTGCGGAGATATTTGCAATTATGTAACACAACTCATTTATTTATTCTGTCCAATGCAAGTTTACACAGATAATGCTGCAAATGTATGCCATCATTAAATTCAAATCCTATCACATAACTGTTGGATTATTGACTTCTTTGGGATTGTTTTTCGAGTTCTAGACTAATGAAACTGATGCTCATTTCAGAAGGATATGTTTGTATAATTAATTGATCCATCTCTGAGTGTAATGAGTTTCTTCCTTTTTTCTTCTAAAGCTTTGATCTGATACATAAAATGACAGTTTCTGATAGTTATCTTTTACTTTATAGTTAAATTTTACTTTTGGGTTTCATTTTTTTCTGGGGCTCAATGAATTTTCATAGAAACTTTTAATAACAGCTTCAATTTAAAAAAAAAAAAGGCCATCCCCGAATGCAAACCAGGATTTCATAGTGAATTTCTTAGCAATTAAATGTTTTGTACCCTATAATAAGATATTTGAAAGAAATGCATGACTGATAAGGAACAATTTTAAATAGTGATACTAAAATTTGCTTTGTTCAAGGGAAAATGTCAGCTGCATCGCACAGTTTAGGCTAATTTTAAAAGAGGTCTCACAGATAGAAGGATGAACATTTCAAAAGGATGTGTTGGTCTGATGGGGACAGAGTAAAGGAACTTCCATGAAAGGGTTCATACGATTGGCAAAACTCGGTCCATGTTATCTTTTACCCTGCAGGGTAATCTCTAAAACTCTTACTCAACCTCATGACAGTGGGACAGACCTGTGAGACAGATTGGTCCAAGAGGTTCAAGCAGCAGAAAATTTAGCGACGACCGTGGCAACAACGGAGAAAGAGGGGCATGTGACATTATACTGTGGCAAGTTTTGCTTATCCTCATCTGAAGATGTTATCAGATATTGAGAAATAGTTATTTGAACACACCTTCTTGGAGTTAGTCTAAATGTACACAGCATCCAATGACTGCTTCTTGTGAAAAAGCGAGTTTTTATGACATAAATGCATGCTGTCTATGATCAGTATCAAGCATGACTTTTCTGGTATCAAGTGAAACAGGACAAAATTGCATTTAAATGTTCAATGTTAATTACATGTAGTTACCAAGCAATTCATTCTAAAATCACGACTTTTTTAAAAAATGAATGCTTTGACGTTTAAAAATATTTGATTCAGACCAGCTGTGGTTAATGTTAGTAAACGGAATGAAGCAAGCAAGAAAGCATCATGAACAAAATGCTTGGTGTTACCCTTAAGTGGGGTGAAATGGTAGTCATCTTTTAAATGACCGCATTCAATGCTAGCAATACTTGCTTTCTGCATTGTTTCACTGTTGCATCTGCTATTCCCTCATCACCAAACAGTAAGGCAATAAATAAAGTTGTCAGAATGATGAGCTACAGATATTTTGACATTGTTGACCTAACATTTAATTCATCAAAATGAAGAGTTAAATAATTTTGGCACTGCACAAGTTAACAAATACCAAATGGGTAAAATTAATTTGAAGTCACCTCACCTTGCTCTCTTTGTGGTTTGTTTCTATTAATTTCTCTGTTTCTGGTCTTCTTTGAATCTTGATTTCTTTCTCTGCTCCGTTGTATCTCCTTGTGTCCTTTTCGATGTGGGCAGTCTTTGAGGAAGTGTCCTACCTTCCCACACACCCTGCAGCAGCGATCATTTGGTGGAGCCTCACCTCCAGTCAACACAAAGGTGTCAAAGAAGTATTCCTACAGAGTTTGACAAAATATCTTAAATGTACAATGTACATACAGTATAACATGTATCATGCTGCTTTAATGAACATAGCATGGTTTAAAAAATGTTTGGCATAGTGACATTTCAGTTGCCAATGCACTGGTCCCTGTCCGCTCAAGTGTGTGATGGTCTGCCTCACTGTTTAAATATGGCCAACAAGTCCATCTTACACAGCAAGAAATTAAAAATCAAAACTAAGGAGGGTTGGATCAAACTTTCAAGTGTAACTATGATTGAGTGCTTCTAAATTGATAAAACTTAGCAGGCATTCAGCTCTTCTGATGACTAGTTAACTGATTTTATTCATCTTCACAGCATCTTTAGTAACTGCATTCTGACTTCGAAGTTGAGAGGTATCAACTTTTTGTCCAAATGGGGAAAAATTAGTAGGCCTGCCAGGCTGTCATCAGTTGATGCTTTAAGGGATTACGCTCCCTCATTTGCAACCGTGAAAAGGTGAGAAACAGATTTCAAGGGGGAGGAAGAATACATAAGATGTATAAAGGTCTGACTGGCCTTCAACTGCCTCCATACAGAAAATGCGGATCAAGTGCAAGGAATGGAGATGGACAATGGAGGACCGACTGTTCCCTCCACAGCTACTACCACTGGGATCTACTGTGCAGTGAGAGAGTTGAGAACATTCTCACCAAAGAATGTGGAATGTTCAAGGTTTCCAACTGATAAATACCACGCTTTTTGAACCTTGATTAAAAGCATATCAACATTACCATGTCTAGGAAAACTTTCCATATTTCGCAGGCAGATCCAGCTGATTTCATAGAACAATTTTTTGACTGAAGATGAGTGTTGAGTCCACCGCTTTGCATCAGAGATTAAGAAACAGTCCATACAGTGGTAACATCTGTCCTCACCTCCTCTGAATGTTGTTTTATTTGCTGGGAACATGATGGCTGCATTTTTTTGGAATGCCAAGGGGGTAAAGGTTGTGGACTACCTTGCAAGGGGCCAGACCATCAACAGGGAGCATGCCAACTTGCTGAGGCAGTTTCATGAAGTTATCGAGAAGAAAGTTACTGGGAAAATTGACAGAAGTTGTGAGTTGCTCCAGCAGGATAACACCCCTTCTCATAAAACCATGAAGTCCATCATGGCTGCTGTCACCGGCTGTGGCTTCTGCCTCATTCAGTATCTGCTATACTCTCCACATTTGGCCCCATGGGACTTCCATCTCTTCTCAAATACAGAAGTAGCACTTTGCTGGTAGGTATTTTTTGTGCTGATGATGGGGTCCACACATCCACAATTAAGGCCTTCTTTGAAGCCATTAAAGTTTGGTTACAAACTTTCTATCCAAGCCCGTATATTCTTTTTCTTCTATGTGCCACTTGTGGGTTTTGCTTGGTTATTTGGAATTTGGGTGGCACTTATCCACAACTCAGTATTTAACATCATTGCTTATTGCTATTTACGTATAGTGTACACAACAGAAATTGTAATGGCTCTCGTGCTAAAAATACATGTATGTAAAAATGCGTATTAAAAATATTTTTGTGAAAATATATGTTCACAATATTAATTAAAAATAAGAGCTATACAAAATGCTCTATACACAAACCAAAAAGAATTCAAGTTTCACAATATCACAATTCACCATACAAAATTATACAGACAGTAATTCCACAGAATCACAGTTCACCATTTACATTGAAAATAGTCTTTCCTTTAATTAAAATACCTATATATATAGATAAAGATAAAAACACAAATGTAATGAATAAATGAAGTGAGGAATCATGACATACAACTGATCACTTGAAATCACTCCATCCTAATGCATCACTCCACATTGGCATCCCAACATAAACTACTTGACAGATGAATACCAAGGAATTTAAAGTGATCTACGATGTGTACATCAGCTCCATTGATAGTAATATGAAAAATTTCATTCCATCTTGAGTGAAAATCAACAATAATATCCTTAAGTCTTAGTAACATTGAGGTTCAAGTTGTTGCCAGAGCACCACTGTGTAAGAACCTGAATTTAATTATGATAGTTATGTTCATCATTACCTTTAATGAGCCCAATTACAGTTGTATCATCAGCATATTTCACAATTGTACAATCGTCAAATGAGGGTACACAATCATGCGTGTACTATCAATGTAACAGTGGTGATAGCACACACCCTTGAGGGCTTTGGTATTCGTGGTGATACAATTAGAAATCAAAGAGTTCACTCTGACTACTTGGCTATGGTCGTTAAGAAAATCATGGACCCAACGACAAAGGAATAAATCACTACCAAAACCAGCAAGCTTGTGATATAGTGTGTTAGCCAGGTTTTGAATTTCTAGTTTTAAGTCTCCAATATGGAAAACAACCTTATTCCGAGTCAATACTAAGTTTCTGGTATCAAAACTCACACCCATTTCCCCCTCTCTGTTGAGAGCAATGACAGCAAACATGGCTGTCTTCTTAAAAGTAAAACTTTCTTTCTGTGACAAATACTTGGCAGGGGACCATTGCCTCAGTAATGTAAACATAAACCAACATCGCACACTAACTGATGAAGTATGCAGTATTGTTGGTCTCTTGGAACACTCCTTTGTAAAATCAGTGGATGTTTCCCCACTGACTCAGAGGATGCAAATGGCAGATGTATTCAAGTCACTGCTGGCTTTGCTGTATTTAATGCACTATAACTCAGTCTTTCTCCATAAAGCTGTGTCAACATTCCAAAACTGTGTTTACAGATAGTTGCATGGATCAATTTGCCTGCCACTACAAAAAAAAAATCAGTTTTGTGACATATGTGTTATACTGTTTCTTCATACTACTCTTCCATGACTGGTGCAATATTTCAGTAGTTTTCAAGAAAGTCCTTGGTTTTCCAAGTTTTCCAAGATAGCCTGCATGCCAGTAGTCTTGTGCTGTTCCAGAGTGGGTGTGGATGTTCTATCAGTAGATGCAGCAGTAGGTCTCTTCTTCTTGGGAGGATGATCTATTGTAAGCATATCAACCATGTACATGTAGGCATCCGGCTCTGGGTGCCATGACATGAAAGTGTCCAATTGTTTATTCAACCAGGACGTAAACATGTCACAGTCAAACTGTCTGAATTTCTGACCGAACTTTGGAACAACTGGCTTGTTTAGCATCCATTCTATATGGCGTGATTCTGTATCCACTTCAGTGTTATAAGCCCCAGGAATGAAAGCTGCTGACAGAGTAAGGAATCTTTCTTGGGCCTACATGATCATATCTCGTGACCTTGTTAGAGCTTTCCTTAATGCTACCCTGTTTATTAATACACAATACTGTTGCTGAGTTGTCACTCATTATGCACACACGTTTGTTGAACATGTCTTTACAAAATGCTTGTAGTGTAACAGAGGCTACCATCAATTCCAATACATTGACGTGCAGTTCCCATTTTGTACTGAACCAAAGTCTCCCAGTACATGTATGTCTTCCACTGTAAATACCTCCCCAACCAAGCTTTGAGACATCTGAATTCAGGGGTTCCCAGTTTCTATTGATCTAGAACTTGTCAGTACATTACTCACCCACCAATGCAAGTCAGATAGTGCTAAGCTTGACAACTGCACTGAGGACTCATAATTGCCTCTTGATAATTTGATGGCCTCGTTTCTGTCAATTTCCAGTGCTCTGTAATGCAATGGTGCATAAGGCACACCTGGCTCCATGGCCACCAGGCTTCCAATCAATTGTGCCACATCTATAATGCTAATTAATGTCCAGAGAAGAATCGAACAGTCCAGACACTGTTTCTTGACTTTGTTTGATAGCTTTGTTCACTGTCACGGCCACATTAATAGTGACTGTATACATCCCAAGAATTCTATGCTTTGGGTTGGTACCAGGACTGACTTGCGAGGGTTAACTGAGATTCCGCATTGTCAACCGATGAAATGGTATTGGTAACATTTTGTGCGTACTGCTCCGCATCATCACCTTGTAACAAAAGTTCATCTACATAGGCCATGTTTGTATGGCCATGTTTCCTGAGATGGGACAAAGCTGCTTTCAAAATTTTTGTCGACGGTCAGGGGGCTGGTGACAGCCCATTCGGCATTGCCTTAAACTGAAATAGTTTTCCTGTCCACCTGAACTTTAAGTACGTTCTGTGAGGTTCTCACAATGTGATGGAGTAGTAGGCATCTTTCGAATAAATTGATGCAAAGCACGACATCTCTTCTCATAAGATTTAACACTGTTTCCAAGTGTCCATTTTGAAGTGGTAGTATTCTTTCTGCTTGTTCAAGGGCTTTAAATTCAATACGAGTCTTTGACCACCGTCTTGTTTTTCTCTAACAAAAATATGAAAGATGATATCCCCAGGTCCATCCCCAGGTTATGTCTCTTCACTAACCTCTTTTTCTAAGAGTACCACAATTCCAGTTTCAGGAATCTCTTCTTTTATGTCTCAAAATTCAATATTATGTGGAAAGGAAGCCTGCTGGGATTCAGAGTCGAATTTAAGGTCAATGCCATATTCAATTTGACCTAGTCCCAGCTATCTGAAGTTATTTTGTCACAGTTATCAGCAAATGAATGCAAACCAGTCTCGCCACCTTGCAAATTATTTGCCACATTGGTAACTTGGATAAAGAGGAGGGTGGCTCATTTGAAGGACATGGCCATTAGATTTGTCTACTTGTTTTCTGTCTCATTTCTTCCTGAAAGGCTAATGGTATTTGGCTCGGTAAGGGCGCTGGTTGGAGTGCCCTTGTGGCTGGTGCTAGGAATATGGAGGTTGGTAGCCTCTCTTGTGATAATGATGGCTGAAACTCTGTGGCCTGTAAATTTGAAGTTTTTGGCTGACCTGCAATTTCCTGGGTGATTCCGCCACATACTTTTTATGTTTCCTTAAGCTCCTTGATTTTTTTGATCAGTCATCACTTAAGAGCAAGTCTGTGGATGGTATACCATGACCACATAAGGGACAGTAGGATACCTGCCAACTTTGAAGAACAAAAATGC